GAAGCTGGTATTTAAAAGTGATTTGAATATACAGATCATTTTATGTCAAATGTGCAATAAAATTATCACTGCTTATATGAATAATGACATGGGAGTTTGTATAAAGTAAAATAGCAAGTAAGGTGGGGCTGGCAGGTTGCACGGTAGTTAAGGGTGCTGGACTCTTACACAGTCGACCGTGGCTAAAGTCCTGGACCTGGAGGCTTGCTTTTTCACTTTCCCTCTCTCTGTCTCTCTCTTTCACTCTGTCCCTCTCTGGTCAAATTTCAATAAATAAATAAAGTTAAATAAAATAATTATTTGAAAAAACAGCAAGTAAGTTTCAAATTAATTTGACTTTGAAATGTATGGTAATATCTCATGATGTTCTTTCATTGCTAATAATTGCTACCCTAAGTACTCTCTGTCTATTATCTATTTCACTCCTCATAGCAACCCTATGATGGAGGTTCTCAGGCTTAGAGAGATTCAGCAGCTTGCTCAAAGTCACTAAACTAATAAGTAGCAGAGTCGAGAGTTGAACTTGCCTTAGAGGCTTTCCTGACTCCCGAGCCTTTACTTAACACTGGGGACATGGCTTCCTTACTTGTAGACAACGCCGAAATTATTTCTGTTGATGGAGTTTATGTTGTTGAATGTTGAAGCCTGCCCAGCAAAGCAAGGAAAGTAATTTGAGTTTTTAGATGTGAATTGACCAAAGTTGGCAGCGCTCTAAAAATATAGGCATACGACTGCTGCAACCATTGTAAATGGAATCACTATTTCACTATTCATATAAGCTATGTGATAAATGAAATGAGAGCTATAAAACTTTTCTTGCCCCTTGACTCAATAATTTCAGTCTTTGAAATATACCTCAAGGAAATAACACAAAATATAAAGGTAATTTGCTCAAGATGTTCATTTGGGGGCTATTTGTATCGGTGAAAAACTATAAACAACTCAAATTCCCAATAACAGGATAATGACTAAGCAAATTAGACTACACAGAAAGAAAAGGAAGAAAACTTTATAATTCCCCAAATGACAAATGTAGAACACCTTTATATGTGGATACAAGAACAAGTCTTAATGTTAAAAAGTAGAATAGTAATTAGTAAAAGGAAAATCTTATGCAGCCAAGTAAAAGAATATGTTTATTAATAATGACATAGGACAATTTTAAATTATAAATAAGTATGTCCACAATTTCATTGATGAAATTACAACACCAGAAGAGTACCTGGCATGTAAGTCATGTTCAATAAAAATGTTCTTTTGCTAAATGAAAACAAATGTTATTTATTCACATCTTGCGGCAACAAGAAAGCCAGCCACTATCATTTGCATTTAGTAGAATCAAAGAGGAGTGCGCAAGTGTTATGTTTTTTTTTAAAAAAAGGAGAAGACTTAAGGTATGATCTGATTGGATGCCACTGGCATGGGGAAGATAAAGGCAAGCGAACTAGAAGCAGAGTGTGTTAGATTATTATCGTGGGTATTAGTTTAGAGAACATATTTGGCTTACTCTGATTGACCCTGCGTGGAAAGTACATGGGTACGGAGAGTAGAATAAGAACAAAACACAGGGAATCCAGCAGTCATTGATCAAGTCCTGAAAGTTCTGGGCTGACTGCTTCAAAGATTGTGATATGGCTTTCTGGGCTGGCTGTTGGAGAGAATATCAAAGTATTGTCATACATGGTCTGGTCATTATCCATTTATGTATATCCAATCTCTCACTATGAGTTATCAGCTTTTTGAATAAAAGGATATCTCTCAGGAACAACAAGATGGAAGAGATGCACAGGGCAGGGGTAAGATGGAAGGGGTGCTTCTGTTTCCTTTCCAGGCACATCACCTTCCAGCACCACCATGTGTGCAGGAGCCCAGAAGCTCTACTTAATAAAAACTCAACAGACTTGGGGACCAGCAGTTAATGTAATGGCTATGTCGCTGGACTCCCATATAGTCTATTGCAGTTCAGACCCAGAGGCTTAAACTCATGCCAGGCACATGTGCGTGCGTGCCCAGGATCCCAAGAGAATGGAGGAGAAGGGATTGTGGCGTGGCCATCCCCCCTGGGGGATGATTTCTCACTTTCTGTCTTTCTGGCAAGCACATGACCTATAGCAAAAACCTCTAAAAAAAAAAAAAAAAGAATAAGCCAACAGACTTGTATGTAGGCACTTTTAAACTGAGACCCGACTGTATCTTACATGTATTCATGTGCTGTCACTAGAAGCTAATCTTTTATGGGGATTTGCTACATGCTAGTGCTCTTCCAAGTTCTTTCCCTGCATTCTCTCATTTAATCTTCCTACAGCTCAATGAGATATGTATTATCGTTATCATCCGTCTTCTAAGAGGAGGAAATTGGGGCACAGAGAAGCTAAGTAACTTGCCCAGGGTTACACAGGCCATGGTAGAGATGCAATTTCAACCCAGATAGACTCAGTATATGGTCTGCACACCCTCTATGTCATACCCCCCACCTTACTTGGAAAAAAAAAAAACAAAACTAGATTTTGTTTTTTCTATTAATTATTTCTGGATTTGTTTTCTGATCTTCTTCTTCACCATTTCTGTTTGGTTAATAATATACAGACTGTCTAGAGCAAAGAATAATAATCAGATCCAGAAGTTGCTGAGGTAAAGAATCTCTACCCGGTGTCACTTGCGTGGACGCAATCTACCTGCCATGAGTGGTAGAGCTCCTTTGAAGGAGTGAAACTAGAGTAGAATTTTTAAGTCAGGTTAGGGAATTGTAAATGCACATGGATAATTGCAGAAGAGAAAAATGGAACATTTGAAATAAGGAAGTACTCCAGTGAGGTTGAATATAAGCGATACAAGGTGCCTGGGGATTAGTAACAAATATAGAAGACCATTTAAAAACTCTTAGGAAAAAAGTTAATTATAAAAAGGTATGCTTTACACTTATCCAGCTCTTATCTGTCCCCCCAAAATTTAAATTCATGATCTTATTTAATTCTCATGTCATAGATAGTGGATAATACAGTTGACAGATGAGGAACCTGAGAATCAGCGCCCAAGTGGTTCACTCAAAGAAGCTGCTTGTCATTAGCTAAGCTGGAACCTCTGTACAAATATTCTCTTTGAATCATAAAGCCCTATCTCATAAGTATAAATCCACTGAGTAAAGTCCAGAAAACAAACCTAAATAAATGAAACAAAATGAAAAATAAATACATAATTGGGATCTCTTTAAATGAAGGAGGCAAAATGAAGGTAGGACCATCTGTGTATAAACTGTTTGGGGAGTGACACTGATATGTAGTTGTTATGTTTGGAAAGACACAAAACTCTGACTCTTAATCCTTTTAAGATGCACATCTTCTCAGGACTCTGTCATCCAAGGTGCTGAATGCACAAAATGAAGTTTTTGCCTTATCTGTGCACGTTATGGAAATATTTTTATAGTGACAAAGGTGGCTTACATTTATATACCTTTCTAAATGTCCTCTCTTTCTCACCTGGTTCTAGCTCAGTTCAGAGGTCAAATACCACCTTTTCCAAGAAGTCCAGATTCCCCATGTGAGAATCACTCTCTCTTTCCTAGCATTCATAGCATGTCTTAGAACATCTTATTGCTGAATCTTGCCTCCTGCCCGTGTCTTTTCTGAATGCCATCACACATGTGAGTTTTATCTTTGTACCTCCCACGACCCCAACAGGAGAGTTTCACGCACTGCAGTAGTTTATTGAATTGGTAAGAAATCATCTGAGTCGTATTGTGCTCTGCCAGTTTATAAATCTTTACTGGAATTTGGGCTATTCAAATTCCACCATAGAAACAATCTTGACCAAGGACAATCTTCACTTAAACTCTTTTTATTTCCTTATAATCATATTTTACGTTGACCTTCTGCACCAAAACATTTGTATTAAAATGTGTTAGTAATAAGCACAGATAAATAGCAAACCCACCTCCAGAAGGTTAAATTATAAAGTGTTTCTCAATCAAATAAGAATATGGTCATTGGGACCAGCAGATGGCATAATGGTTGCATTACAAGACTCCCATGTGGTCAACCGAGGTTTGAGTCCTGGACTCAGAGGCTTAAAACTCATGCCTGGCATGTGTGTGTGAGTGCCCAGGATCCCAAGAGGAGAAGGGATTGTGACATCAAGGGATTGTGGCATGACCATCCCTCTAGGAGGTGATTTCTTGCTCTCTGTCTCTGTCTCTGTCTCTGTTCCTCCGGCAAGTGCATGCACCCTATAGCAAAAATCTCTCTCTTAAAAAAAAAAAAAAAAAAAGAATATGGTAGTCACTGAACTACTGAACTTAAACCAATTTGAGATTTGCTTTCACCACAAGTCTTATAGATATTCCTATTCAAAATAAAGGTAAGATCTTCAAAGCCAAAAATTCAGTTCTTTGAAGACTCTTTCAACATAAGCTGGAGAATAAACTACTGGTGAAGGAACCTAAAATTTCAGAGCAAAAGGTACATCACTTCTAGCAAGGTCAATTGCTCTTCAGGGACGAAAATAATGTTCTTTTTATTAGCAGTTTGGAATAACAATTAAATAACATTCATTTTATTGAGACTTTTATGTAAGAACTGAGAAAACAATTCTTCATTGTAGTTATGAAAACCCAAGAAAAAGTGCTGAGTTTCTGAAACACAATAGTCTACTGTCAATAGTTCACTATCTTCCCTTGGGCCATGTGTGGTAGTGAAATGATCCTCAATTAAAAGGCTTACTTCTAAGGAAGATAAAGACCAGGGAATAACAAGAATACTGCCATAGCTGATAATGAAAAGCAAGCTAGGAAAAGATAATTATATTGAATGAAGCACATTTCATGTGGTATAATTTTATGAAATATCAAAAAACTCCCACTATATTTTGTACAACATGAGAAAAGCTCTTTGATCTATGAAAGAGCTAATCCAATAGCTATTCACTTAATTCCAGTCTTTTGAGGAGGGGATAGCAATCAATGATCCAAAAGAAAAGTACACGTCACAAAAGGCATGAAATCTTACTTTTTCATCATCTTCAGTAAACGGAGCACCTTCGGGAATTTTATTTATCGCTTGGGCCACCCCAATAATTTCACCATCACTGCTTCGGATAGGCATACACAATAATGATTTTGTCTTGTAACCAGTTAGCTTGTCAATTTCATCATTGAATCTTCGATCCTGAAAATAAGAAGAGAGTATTAACTGCATGTCTATTGTTATCAGGGAGAAGTGTATTTCTGCCTATGACATCTTATCACTGGGAATGCTCCCCCATGGATTTTTTAATCACTATAACAGATCTGATTTCATGTTGAATTCACTAAAGGAACATAAATGGTAATAAAATCACCTTAGATGTTAACCATCGTAAATAAAGAGAAACTTTAAACCGGTTACAACATATCAAAATTGGGGAAGGAGAATGCAAATGTTTTTAAGGAAATCCCACAGTATGCTATTTATTAAAACGTGTTGTTCCATAATGCAATTGGATATGAAATATCACATAAGAAAATACATAAAAGTACATATTAAACACTATGAAAAAATATCCAGAAAAGAACTGCTGTATTTCTGGCCAAAATGATGCTAGCGGTGGGGGGGAACTGAGTTTATGGTGATATTTCAAAATATTCCAAAAAAAGAATGGGATAGAGATAAAATGCTTCTTTACAGAATGTCAGTCCAAATATATAGAAAGATAATCAAATCATAAGATACCTATCTGCAACTACCAATATAGTAATAGTCATAAGCAAAGATCATCGATGGATGTTAATACTGTTGGTAAAAGATTGTTGTGTAAGCTGGACATTAATTTCTAATTGCCACTCCAGAGATTTCTTATTAATTACAAAGGCAGAAAATGCCTCTGTAATGAAGAGATCTGGCAGACACCACCTTGAATAAGGAATCAAGCTTAGTGTCCCATTAAAAGGACAAAATAGGGGGCCAGCAGGTGGCACAGTGATTAAGGTGTTGGACTCCCTCATGGCTGACTGCAGTTTGAGTCTTGGACTCGGGGGCTTGAAACTCACACTGGGCATGTGTGCATGAATGCCCAAAATCCTGAGAGGAGAATGGAGGGGAAGGGATTGAGGCAAGACCATCCATCCCCCACCGTGGGTGATTTCTCACGTTATCTCTCTCTGTCTCTCTCTGTCTTTCTAGCAAGTGCACACTTTCTATAGCAAAAATCTCTCAAAAGAAAGGACAAAATAGCATTTTTAAAACATGCACTTAATGTTAGGCCGAATTTTATCATAACATCTACTTTCTCAGATGTGATAGAGGTGTTATAATTGTGTATGAGAGTGTCATTATTTTTAGATATTTATGCTAGAGTATTTTGGGTTGACAAGTCATAATATCTTCAATTTACTTTCAAAGGACAAATAGGAAAAAAGAAGGGAGGGAGAAGAGGAGAAAGGTGGGGAAAAATTGGTTCCAAAGGGGGTCAGAGACTAAAACTGCTCTAAGGAAGACAATAAACTAGATCTGGGATCATAGTTTCAAGCCATGGGCTGGAGTGAGGCGTCTCTTTATGCCCACACACCCTTATTAAAAGAGGCCTAAGAGACAAAACAAAGCACTGCTCTTTACTATCGTCTGGAGCTGTCGGTTTTAGCTAACCAAGGGCAAGGAGGTTGCTTGTAGATAAGGTAGTAGCCCTAAAACCATACTAACACTGCAACTGGCTGCCTGCCGGCCCTCTGCCTAGGTCTGTGGTATCTCTAATATAAGGGCAAGAGACTTTAACCCTGGTTCTGGTCTGGGGATCCACAGGGGCTACTCTAAACCCTTAGTCAGGTAGGGGAGAGCCCAAAAGGTGAATGGGAAGTGAAAACCCAAACCAAACAAAACCTCCTGCACAAAATGACATGCAAACTTCCAGAAAAATACTTGTTTGTAGTAATTAAAAAAAAAAAAATCACTGAAAACCACTGAGTCAGACTGTGGGCTAGGCGATGTAGCAGGAAGCAAAACAAACATCATTCCTACCTTCAGGGAACTTGCATCTGGTAAGTAAGGAAGATGACATGTAAATTTTTAATTATCTATTGTGGTAAGTTATATTGAGAAAAAGAACAAGCTGTAGGAGAGATACTTAATTGGAGGGACTTATTTTTATGGGAATTAAAAAGGACAAGTGAGGCCAGCAGGTGGTGTGGTGGTTAAGGCACTGGACTTCCATGTGACCGACCATGATTCAAGTCCTGAACCCAGTGGCTTGAAACTCACTAGGTGCGTAGATGCGTGCTCAAAATCCCAAGAGGGAAATGGAGGAAAACGAATTGCCCCCTGGGGGTGTAATTTCTCACTTTCCTTCCCACTGTCTCTCCAGTAATGTACACACTTTATGGCAAATGCCTTAAATTAAAAAAAAAAAAAAAAAAAAAAACTAAAAAGGACAAGTAATTTGAGATCTGAATCATAATAAGAATTTGCCAGGTTACGAATGGTGGAAAGAACGTGCCATGAAGATGGAACAATGCATATAAAGACCCCAAGGCAGCAAAAGGCTTCGTAAGTTCCAAAAATCCAAAGGTCAATGTACCTGGAGCACAAGGAGCCAAAGAACGAATGAAAAGGGGAGGCAGGGACCACATGTGCCAAGTCTTTCAGGCCTGGAAAGGAGTTACATTTCATTTCAAATACGATAAATAACCGCTGAAGATAGTGAAGCAGAGGAATGAATGGCATGACTCACTACCTAACATTTAATGGTCTCTGAAAATATCTTGCTTACTTGCTTTTCCCCCTTCCAGAATGTAAGTTTAAAGACAACAGAGATCTTATTTACAGCTTCTTCCTGGTGTATTGGAAGCCGAATGTCCTCGCAGAGCCTGAGGAGGCCGATCTCTGTTTCTCTGAACCTCACTGGCCAGATATGCCCATGACTCAGCATCTCTTTAGGACCCACCTACTCCCAGGATGGCATTGGACGTGTTCAATAATGCATTTCAAGTTCTTTATTTTAATCGATTTTGGCTTTTTAAAAAGTTTCTTTCTTTCTTCATAAGGGAAACAGGCAGGACCCATATGCCAGGATCCACTCCTAGTCTCTGCTGGCCTGGTGTGTTTGGGGAGGTACTCAGATGTGAACCTAAGACCTTTCCCCTGTGAGTCTAGTTGCATTACTACTGTACCACCAGGCTCCTGGATTATTTATTTTTTAAAAGACTGCACTATATAGTTATCTAAAATACAGAGAAGTTGTCAAAGCCTTAGGCCTCTCATATCATTTGTTGCCATATATTTAGGGAAGAAGAAGATAGAAATGGTCACTGCAATGCCAACTATGTAAGTAAAAAATGGGAAACCATGCGAATATTGATCAATAGAAAAATAAATAAATGATGACCTTTTGATTTGTGAGCATACTATACAGCAATTTAAGTGAGTAAGCTAGAGTTACTTCTATATACATGACTGAATTTCAAAAACATAACATTGGGAACCAGCAGTTAGCGTAATGGCTATGTCGCTGGACTCCCACGTAGTCGACCGCGGTTCGTGTCCCGGACCCGGTGGCTTAAAACTCACGCCGGGCGCATGTGCGTGCGTGCCCAAGATCCCGAGAGGAGAATGGAGGAGAAGGGATTGCGGCGTGACCATCCCCCCTGGGGGGTGATTTCTCGCTTTCTGTCTCTATGTCTCTCTCTGTCTGTCTGGCGAGCGCACGCGCCCTACAGTGAAAATCTCTCCAAAAAAAA